AATTCCAGACGCAGGAGTGGCTCATTTCATTTTCCTGCTGTTTTCTCTATGCGTTTACCATTCTCCTCCTTACAGTCTGGAAGGCAGAAGTTTAACCTCAGAGAGGAAGAAGCCCACGTTTATACTGGGCCTTTGACCTTGAAGTAAAATTGGCTGGTATCATCAGTAAGTGCAAGCCCTCTGGAGAACACATCTGTCCTCAGGAGAGAGGGTCACATTTCAATTCATTCTAGGATAGTGACCTCCGTTGCTAATCCTGTGGCTCCCTGTAGTCTCCATTCTCAAAGCAAAGCAGGCTCTGTGCTACTGTGCCCAGCAAAAATGAAGCGGAGGAGTTTGGGAGTCCTGAATCTCAGAGGAGCGAATCCCTAGGCCTTTCTCAAAGGGCGTTGAAGAAGCAGAAAGGGGAAGGGATTTCCACCAATCTGAGAGACTGAGAAAGGCTAGTCTCTGAGTAGCAGGGGGTCAGGGAGACAGACAGACAGACAGACAGACACACACACACACACACACACACACATACACTAGCACACCTCGATGTCCAGGGTCAGGGACACATACACACACATGCACGCATGCACACACACGCACACACACACACACATGCACACACACACACACACACACACACACACACACACACACACCGTGATGCCTTGATTGAATCTAAAAATTCTACCCCAGCTGTGGAGCAAGACTTAGAAAGGGCAGAGGAGGGCCAGCCCGAGATGTTGTCTGTACCCCTGGGAACACCCTCCTTGCGGCTCAGAATCAGAAATTTATTCCCCTGTTCCTGAAAATTGAAGGCGCATCTCCAGGACCCAACTTAAGCTTCAGCAAGAAATTCTGATTTGGGTTTCATAGTAGGAAGTTTTACATACAAATATAGAATATTGTGATATGGTATTCCTGGTCTACATGTGGAGGACAACTAAAATGCAAAATGGATTCTAAGAAGAAAAAAATTGTCAATATGATAACATGTTTAATTTGAATTATATATTATAAATACCTTGTATCCACTATGTCTCAGGGCTTTCACATATTAGTAAATATATATAGCAAACAAGATAGATAGCTTAGCCAGGCAGGGTGGCATTCATGTTTAATTCCAGCACTTGGAGGGCAGAGGTAGGCTGATTTCTATTTGTTTGAGACCAGTCTGGTCTACATAGGAAATTCCAGGTCAACCTGGGCTACACAGTGAGACCCTGCCTCAAAAACAAACAAACCTAAATACGTTAGAGATTATTATGAGCACTTAGGGGAGTCCCAGGGTTTCTTGACAAAGTCATAACCCAGCAGCGGGAGCGAGACAAATGGAAGATTAAGCCGCACTAACTGTAGATTCCACCCTGGCCGGCAGCGCCACTAGGAAACGGCTTTATTGTATTTGCTCGGTCAGACCTCTGTGCTTTTTCAGCTGTTCCCTTGTAACTGAACGAAATACAGAACTCTTGTTGACATACAACACCAGCTCCCCCACATACTGTCTTTCTGTTTCATCCTTTCTTTAAAAGTGCTCACCTTTAGGAGTGCCACTGAGTTGATTTCTTTGAAGTATCAGCACCTTTAGATGGGGCAATCTGCTGTGGTCACCGTTTCGTTGCGAGGGGAGAGCCAAGGGCAGATCCAGCCTGAGGGAGCGCATGGCGTTGTTGCTGAGGTTTAGTGTTTCCAAAGCATGTAAAGGAGTGAGGGGGCTGAGGGTCATTTCCGATATGCTACGGTTACTCAGGTCCAGATGTTTTATATGCCATTCTTTTCTCGTGTGAGACTGGAAGAGGACTCGAAAGAAACGGGAGCTCATATCCGCGGTCTCTGTCATCTGTGATGTGCGTCTCGTTGAAGACCAGTTTGCCAGAAGATGCCCATCCCACTGGTACCTGCTTTTTCTTGATGGGTTTGTTGCTGTTTCCCGAAAGCAAAGACCTATAACTACGATAGTAATTCTGAAGTAGATGTCTTTCATAATGCCTGAGGAAAAGGTAAGTAAATTGATTCATTCAAAGTAACACGGAAAAACAAACAGTAAATAAAAAGCAGAAAACTTAATTTCTATCTCAAGACTCAGGAAGCATTCTTAATTATCAACAGAAGCGAATATTTGATTTCTTAGAAACTGGCCTCTGAAAGGTAGCTCTCCCCAAAGCTGTAACTATAAAATAAAATGAGATGAATATACATTTTATGGAAAGATCCCCCACTGGTATTCACAGAATAGACATTTACCAAAGCCTCACTTCTCCACTGCCTTCCCAGGATCCTCCCGCCTGTAGTCCACTTCCTAGTGAGTGAGTCCAACTTCTCTGATCTGTCGCTTGTCACCAGCATGGGGCAAAGTCTCTTATGTTTATCTCCAACATCGTCATGTGGTTTATGACATGAACGGCACACAGCTACACCACAGAGCAAACCTCATAGGAACAGAAAGTACAACTCGTGGGACAGACGCTCGTGTCCTTTCTGACTAGAACCATAAGCTTTATCTTTACAGCGTTTACTACTTTTTACATCATTTTGAAATCCTTTTAAATATACACAAAATAAATAAAAATGGTAAGAAAAGGATGTCCTCTCACCCAAGCCAGGAAGATGTCATAAAATATTGGAATGTCAAGCCTTTTTCATGTCAGTCTTGAGGAACATCTGTACGTTCTGAAACAATTTGCACAGGCTGAATATAACTAGAAAAGTGGCTGCAACGGGTGGGCAAATGGATTCTAGAGATTTGTTTTAAGCTAAACTCCTCGAAGACAAAACCAGAGTACAAATAACAACCCTTTCTCAGCAACATATCACCCATTCTTTTCTGGTCTCATCGGAAGTCCTGGAATAACTTTGCTGAGCTTCCTGACCCAGGGTCCCCCAACTCCCAATCCCCGCCACACACACACACACACACACACACACACACACACACACACACACACACAGACACACACACACACTGTAGATAACTCCAGAGGATTATCTTTCCAAAAATGCTATTTCCCTTGTGATTTTTTTCTTCGAAATTTTGAAATGTTCCTTTAATTGCCTATAGTCAGAATCCCCAAGGTTGGCATTCAGAACTTCCCATAATCTAGCTAGCCTGGTGCCCTAAGTCTGACAGATTTGTGTGGGGTAACTTCAAGATGTGGCCCAGACGGGGGATATGTGTGTCTGCCTCACACTCAATGACTCTCCTCTCCTCCTTTAATCCATGATCAGTGCCAATGCCCTCTGTGGTCTGAATCTTTACACTTTTAAGTCTCGTCTCAATTCCTATGGTCCGAACCTCTTTTTCTTGAGTTAGCCAGGATTTTGTCTTTGCTTTCAGTGAATAGTGAGTGAACGCACTCAGTTCCATCCCATCGGACGGTATCAATGCCAGCACACAGTGTTAGCACTCCGCTTTGTGCCTCTCATACGAAAAGCAAAAAGAGGGCAAGAAGGTTTAGTGTTCTGGGGCCCGTCACCGGGCTGCGCTCTGAGCATGAGCGAGTGCACAGAACGAAGGGCATTCTCGCTGTAACTTCTAAACGTCTATTTCACAGGAGGTCAATTCTCCCATATCTCAGAGGGCATCTAAATTTAGGCACAAAAACTGCAAAGGTGCCCTAGAGTAAGGAGTAATTTATAATATACCCTTTGTGCAATACCAGAAACCAAGCTCACTTTTCTAGTCATAGTGATATGTGTTTCAACATTAAAGCTGCCACCATTATGCACACAATTGGGTGCTAACCTAAAGTAATATGAGCAAAAAATAAATTTATCATAAATATACACATTCCTTTGTAATAGCGAAGAAAATGATGGGGTTGAAAAACACCTTTTTTTTTTAGAGGGAATGAAAGTGAAAGATTTTTATAGTCTGGCCTTTTTCAAGGTAAAGAGATTGATGTATGAATAGATTCACATTGAAAAAAGGAAGACTAGAATAATTTTATTTCCAATGGGTGATGGTGGTGCATGCCTTTAACCCCAGCACTCAGGAGGCAGGGGCAGGCAGATCTCTGTGAGTTCAAGTCCAGCCTGGTCTACAGAGCGAGTTCCAGGACAACCTGGACTGTTACAGAGAAAAATTCTGTCTCAAAAAAACAAAAACAAAAACAAAAAAAAAAAAGAAAGAAAGGAAAAGGATTAATGTTAAGGAACATTATTTATAATACATACAAGTGTCTATGCGTGAGGCAAAAACAAAATCAAAAGCAACCCCTGCCCCAAAAGGAAACAGTGGGAACTGCCGGGAAAGTACAGGTAATTGACTCTGTAATTGAGACTGTAAGTCTTTATCTAGGCTGATTCAAGTTGAAGTATGAGGAAGCAGTTAGAAATGACTGGGGCATGCGCACAACAGAGAGAGACGGAGAAGGCGACAGGACAAACTAGAGAAGAGATGGACTCTTCTGTAAGGAAGTGGGAAAAGGGAATCAAATAGTGAGGCTCTCCGGGGAACGAGACCTGAGGAGGACAGGACTCCGCGCCAGGCCTACCTCAGGATCCTCAAGCGGCCTCTAACTGCTCTGTCTCCAGCTGATCCAGCCATGTGGGGATTTCAGATCTGTCCCTTGAGGCTCCGCCCATGTTCCCCAGCTCTGCTACCAGCCCCCACCCTTTCATCTTCTGGCTCTCTCCTTGGTCCACTGGGGGGAAGCCTCTTGGAAGGCATAGAAGATGAGACTGTCTAAACTGGAAATGCGCAGGTTTCTGACTCCAGAGCGGCCACATAAACAGGTCGCTGAGATTTAGACTCTGTGTTGTGCTGAAGTAGAAGCTCCTTAATAAAGTCATTAAGAGACTGACACCAAAGTTCACGGAACTGTGCTGTAAACAGAGATCATCACTCTGAAACACAGTATAGGGTTATTTTGGTGTGGCAGGGCTTGTAACCTTTGGCCCTCTTAACATCTTTCAAAAGACCCCAGTGACCAGCCCTTCAGTGGTCTCCTCCTCAAGTTTAAGGCCACCATTCTAACCCCTTAAAAACACTCACCAAAACCAGGTAGAAACTCTTCCATCATTAAAACGATCACACGAGGTTTATTTTGCTTCTGTTACAATGCAAAAAGATTGCCAATACAGTATATTTTAAAGGATTGCAGAAGATGGCCGCCAGGTCCTGCTTTGGGTTGTGTATTTTCCTCTCTGTTCACTGGACAGTCTCTAAGGAACCTTATGTTTATTTCTTCTGCCTCTTCGCGTTGATAGCCACCTCTAAAACATTGTCCTTACTTAAATAAATGTTTGTCCGTTTTCTTCTTGCATCTGCTTCCCGTGAGGCCGCTGCAGCACGTCCTCTCCCTGCAGTCAGTTCAAACAGAAGAAATGAACAGATGAGCAGGCAGCGCCGCCTGACGGCCAGCGTGAGCAGCGTGGCTTCGCTGTGCACCAAGAGGACTTGATCTTGCTTGGCTCCTCCGCAGAGCTTCCAGGTGAGTGTGGGTGCACTTGCAGTGTATTCCACAGAACACAAGGATGCCCTCTCACAGCAAAGAGCTCAATGGAGACGTATCGAAATACAAGTGTTTCTCAAGGAAATGCAAAAATACATTTTTTTCATTAATTGTATTTAGTAAATAATACTTAGTAATATAGTGTTCTGTGGTTTTAGTAAAAATATTTATTTAAAGAAATTCTCAAAACAAATGCAAAGAGAATACATAACAAATGCACAACTTAGCATGAAAATGAGAATTCCAAACATGATTTTTCTGAGCATTTTTTAGTTATTAAACAATACTTGAATGTATCCAGAGGTATAAACCACTCTCTTCCTTTACATCTAAAACCTGCACTCAGTGTCAGGTCTCAAGTCAGTTCTTACCCCAGCCTGAGTTCACAATCTATACGGTATTCAGTTTTTCCACTTGACAAAACTGTGACAATATTGAACACACACTGTTTTCTATATTGATTTTCTTATATTCTAAGTGACCATGACAGAATGCAAGGGTCAGCCTGTGTAGCTAGGTCCGTCATCTCTCCCTGCTGTCTACTTTACAGCTATGTACTCTGGGTCCTCATTCCATGTATCTTGGTAATACCAGAAATTCCTTTCAGACCAAGTATAAACCACATTAAGAACCAACTGCCTTGAGGGCTGTAAATAGCTAAAACGAGACAGGGAGATGAGGAGCAGAGATAAAGCACCCGCACCATCTCCCGCTGCAGCACCCTTGTCCTACTGCACACGAGTCTCTAAGGATGAGGCTGGTGTGGGACAGCGGAGGAAATGCATCGGGGCAGCAGGGCTTGTTGAGGCCTAGCCTCCCTGCTTTCCACTCAGCTCTCCTGGGGCTTAAGGAAAAGTATGCTGACCTCTCTGTAACTCATTCAGGTGCTCCCATATGGCAGGCAGACCAAGCAGATCTGTCCATTGAAACACAACTTGGAATTGGCTCAAGATAATTAAAAATCTGACAGTGATTGGTCATGTTTTGCTAATAGGTTAGTATTTTAACTAGAATAGCACACACATTTGATTTTTACCTATTAGGTAAATAGGAATTAGGCTTTTCCCATCTTCTGGGAGTTTTAAATAATTGAACATTCAGTGTAGAGTATAAAAGGCAGGAACACATTTGGAATCAAGTTCATCTAGTTCAGCATTGTACTTGACTTCCAATCCTGAGTCCATTCTTTCCTATGTGGTGTGGGGCAGGTTCCACAACTTCTCTGACTTTCGCTCTCTTGACGGGTGAAGCTGGAACTGAAGCACTTACTGAGAGAGGCGCAGTGAGACCTGGAGGTCACACACACAATGCCCAGCGCAGTACTGCGGAAGAAGAGGCCCAGCGATGACAGCTACTGTCCCCACATACAAGTGAGAACTGGGATTGGGTCTGATGTTTACACAGCGCGGGTACTTACACGTATCATTATTTCAAGTAAGCATTCCACCACAGAGTATTTTCTGTAGTGCAAAGCTAAGGAAACACAGTTTCTTACCAGCTCATATATGGAAGGTTCTTCTGTGACTTGTTTGTGAAAATGTGGCTTTGGGTTAATGCAAAAACCTGTGCCTTCCCCCTTAAAAGCTAAAAAGACAGAGCACAGACAGTGATGTTGTGCCTTTCAAACATCTCTCCCCCCTGATAAAAATAACCAAAGGCTTACTTACAATCTTATCCCTTCAGTCCTTTGTCCTTTAGTCAAAAGATGTTAAAATACTTCCAAGATTACTTTTGATTTTATTAATTTCTCATAATTATTTTAGAGAACTGTCACTTTTGTATCAGTGCAACTTAATAAAGCGTATTAGAATTTAGGCACTCAAAAGTCCCTTAAATACGGAGAGTACGTAATACACACAGGGTGCTCCCCAGTCAATCAATCACAGGTCATCGCAAACTGTACAAACATGGTTCACATGCATTCTTACGAAGAACAGATCAAGTTGAGATCCGAACACACTGACCCTGGGGTGGATCTTCTAATGAGTGTTCCCACAAGGGTTGTCTGCCACCTGGCAGCCCATGTTGTGGCCTGTCACTTGCACCTTGAAGAGCGTGCCGTCTGCACACATGCAGAGCTTGTAGCGCACCCAGTCGCCGCTCCCCGACGCGTCCCCGCTGGAGGAACTGGGCATGCGTGTTGGGCTGACCATCACGCTTCCATTGAGGATGATGCTGTTTTCCTAGGAGGACGGGAATATGGTTCAGCTACCTCCACAAAATGGACACAGACGAAAGTTATCAAACTAGACAAAACTTGTGAAATATCAAAGGGAAGGGAGGCGGCGGGAGGGTAAAGTCACGATCAGAACAACCATGGCCATCGCAAAGCCAAATACACACTGAGGATTCAAGAGTGATTGTGAGTCAACAGATATGCCAACACTAGTCCAAATCACGTCCCTCATAGTGTGACTGATGGGGACAGTCTTGGGTAATTTTCACTTTCTGACTCCAGAGATTCTTTTTTTTTTAAGTTACTAATGTTGATATGGGGGGGGGGTTCTCTTATAGGAAACTAATTTTAGTTAATAGAAATTCAATTAAAGATTAAAACTATGTAATTTATTAGATCAGAATTCCAAAGAAACTGAAGGTTTCTTCTTTTAACTCGTAGCTACAGAGTCATTTTATACTGTAGGCTCTTAAGACTCTCTCTCTCTCTCTCTCTCTCTCTCTCTGTGTGTGTGTGTGTGTGTGTGTGTGTGTGTGCGCGCGCGCATATGGAGGTCAGAGGTTGAACATGTGTCTTTGTAAACGGCTCTCATACTTGATGTGGTGAGGTCTTTCCCTCACTGAAACTGGAACTCAGCAAGTAGGCTAGGCTGTCTGATCCAGCGGCCTCTACATCCTGAGAATAGGATTATGGGCACATGCCACTGCCGTCTTATTTGGGTTCTGAATGCAGGTCCACGTGACGGTTTGGAAGCACTTCACCAATTGAGCCATCTCAGCCTCTCAAGACCCTTTCCTTTAGGGACCAGTAAGTTTCTACTTCTCTCCCGGCTCCCTTCTTCCCTTCCCTCGCATTAACGAATAGTTACTAAATGCTGCCATGTGCCAGACCTATCCTAGGTCTTAGAGAGTGCCATCCATGTAAGCATGAAAGTCGTCACTTTAGGGAGGGGCTGAAATCAATGGGAGTGGCAATAAAAACAGCGGGAAGGGGTCCTGCTATATACAGACCGAATGGCAGCTTTTGTCTGAAATGCTTGGAACAGACCATTTCATAGTTCTGAGTTTATTTTGTTTTGGCATATCTGCATAGATTATTCTGAAATAAAGTTCCAAGTTGTCAAGGATCCGGTTCAAATTTTGTTTCCATGCTGCCATCTTGTGGTCATTTAAGTGTACTTTCTTGAAACTGTAACAGTGTTCACAATACATTGTAACATAGGGTGACTAAGTTAACAGTGTTTGTAGAGGTAAAAACAATTAGGAGAGACCATTCTGAATGCTCTTAATCTGAGAGGTGGCAGATATCTGAGATGATGTGTATGTTAATTCCCCAGTCTGATCATGTGTACATGAATAAAAACATACAATATACCCAATAAATATGTATATTATATGCTCATTAAAAATAAAATGTAAAAGGTAGTTTGACAAAATTATTGCTAATGATTAGCTTATATACTTTAAATCTAGCTATTGATATCAACTAACTTACAAAGCTAAATATCTTTTCAATACTAGAAACTAGTATGTACGACTACTTCAGACAATTTTAAGATTTGTCACATGGACAAGGCAGAATAGTGTTAGCATTTTCTGGTGGGCAGATGGAAGATTCAGAAACTTAGGCATGTTCTGGATACAAAGGGCTCAGACCTCACTCCTCCGACCTTTAGTGTCAACTGCCCTTTAAAATAATATAAAAAATACAAACAAGCAGAAGTAAAAATGAAATCATCTGTTATTCTATCACTGTTAGCTAAATATTGCTAACATTTTCCACATCCTTTCAGATTTTATAAACATGCACATATTCTGAAAGAAAATATTTTACAAATTACTTATAACCTTCTTTCATTTTACAATCCATTTGAAACATCTCATCATGACAAAAATAATTTTCAGTAATTGTATGTGTGATATTTCGTTTGTATTTTAATAAATAATGCTTGCCTGAAGATCAGAGAGTAAAACAGCCCCACTGGTCAGCCTTACAGACGAGACAGTGGTGACACACACCTTTAATGCCAGAAGCCACATGAATTGACATAGAAACCGGGCAGTAGTGGAGCATGCTTTTAATCTCAGCAACAGAAAGGGGTCTAAGATGGGAGGAGACAGCTCTCACACACAGTCCCAGTCTAAGATTCCTGGAGGCAGGATCACCTTTCGGACAGAGGTAGAGGATAAGAGCCAGTGGATGGCTGTTTTGCTTTTCTGACCTTCAGGTTAAACTCCAAAATCTGACTCTGGGTTTTTATTATTCATGCTACAATTACATATTATTCTACATGTAATTATAAACTATTCCAAAATAATTTCTTAAATTCATACACAAACAATACTCACAGCCTTTAACTCTACATTGCCCCCCATGTGAAATTCAATGGTTTTGCCCATGATGAACACGCCTTCATTGCCACGCACAATTGCACGCCCGTCAACTTTGATATTTAAATCACTGGTGGCATTGCTGGTAATCTAAAGATGAAAACACATGCTGAAAAGAGTTTGTCAGTTAAAGTGAGAATTGTTGTCACAGAGAAGTAAAAGTTCTAGATGGGCTATAAAGGGCAGTTTTATAATTGTGGGAGTTAACATAAAGAGAGGACTTACTAGTGCTCCTGCAGGCTAAGGGCAGGGCTAGAAGCATCCCTTGGATGTCTGGAGGCTGTGTTCGCAGGCATCCTAAACCCTCCCCCAAAGAGTAGCTGCAGACAAATTCCCCGCTAGCAATGCTCAAAGAATAGCCATACCCTTTCGGTAGACGCTTTCTGAACGTTCAGACTTTTCACTCCGCTTGGCAGCTGGAACTCATGATTCTCATAGTCCGTGCTGAATAAGACATTTTGTGTCCTTGGGTCAAAAAATTGCATTCCAATGTCACTGGTGATAGACGTTCTGTTCTTTTCTACACTCAGTTTGGTCGTCCCTTGCTGAAAAACAATCTTCAGAAAAATGCTTTATTGTGAGTATCTTTTCAAAGAATGCACAAAGTTCATGAAGACTATTATTTTTAGAACACTACAAAACAAAAATGACAATAAGAGCCAGACTTTAAACTCTTTTAACTGCACCTGTCCATAAGACTGGCTAATATATAACTAACTTTAAAATGAAGGATAAAATTAAAAAGTGTGCCTTCCTTTGCTGTTATAAGACCCACTGTACAAAAAAACAGGTCATAGGAACAGGGCTTGGGCCCCAGATGGTCAGTGCGGAGGTGAGGAAACACCCCTGAGGTTCATTCGGTTTAAAGCCTGTGTTTTAGCAGCCACTGGGCCTCGTGTGCCACTGAGCAGCATTTCTCTTTCTGATTCCAGGAACCTGGACCGTCTGACCTGGGAAGGTGCCTTTGATGGCTGTGTCACATGGACCTACATGCTCTTACACTAATCACACCAGTCAGTGCTTCCTGTGGGGAAAACCCACGGTGAAATTATACAGCTAAATGTTATTGGCCATTGGGTATTTATAAACGTGAAAATGCTTGTACATATGATACATCATTTTAACAAGAAGATAGTATTTTCCAGTACTCAACTGTAGGTTTTCATGAGGAATGCTGCCTTCACCTCTCTCCCATCCACACACTTCCTTAGTGGGGAAACTTACTGGCTGGTTGTTGCCAGTGATGACCAGATTTTCATTCCTCCTTCCTCCCACCGTGCTCTTATAAAGCGGGCGGATGACACCCATGTCAGACACTTGCTTGAACCGCAGCAGGCCGCTTTCATGGAACTCCATGCTGTCACAGCCGTTTGGCCCGATGCGAATCACAGCCCAGATGACAAGGGTAATCTGAAAGAGAGACACGTTTACTGAGCTGCTCAGATGACATCAGTTCTGTTTTTCTCTTCTAGTTTATTTTCCTGGACCTGGCCTTTTCGTTCCATTGAGAACAGCCAGTCTCTAGGCTGCCAATATGATGGAACTGGGAACTTTCCTTTCCTCTCCTGCTTTCTCCCATGTGAGATGCCCGGCTTCCTGTATCTCCACCTTGGAAATACTTGCTTTAGAGCTTTCTATTGGCAGCCCAGTGGCTGTTTGGCGCATGTGTATGGTAAGACACTGCCTGTATAATTCCTCACATTTGTGGGATGATCTGGTTAGCCATGTTTCTGACCTCTTAAGACAAAGACTTTATTACCTTGCTGTTTCTAATGCTCACAAGAGGTCCAGAGCCAATTTGCTTTTGATTCATCCTACACAACATACTTTTCTCCTCTCTAGGAAGTTTTGAATCTTTTCTTTATTTGCAGTTTTCTTAAAACTGGATATAGTGATAGCATGATCTGTCTGTCTGCTTCTCTGCTTCTGCTACCCTCTCTCTTAAAATATATCACACTGAACCCAGAATGGTTTCAGTTTTTCTAGAGAATTTTTTTTTTTCGAGACAGGGTTTCTCTGTGGTTTTGAAGCCTGTCCTGGAACTAGCTCTTGTAGATCAGGCTGGTCTCGAACTCACAGAGATCTGCCTGCCTCTGCCTCCCGAGTGCTGGGATTAAAAGTGTGCACCACCACCGCCCAGCTTCTCTTTTCCTTCTTTCTGTTCTCATTCTCTCTCCCTCTCTTTCCCTCCCTCCATCCCTTCCTTCCTTCTTTCTCCCCCTCTCCCTCTACTCCTCTCTCCTGTCCTCTCTCTCTCTCTCTCCTCTCTCCTCTGTTCTCTCTCTCTCTCTCTCTCTCTTTCTCTCTCTCTCTCCTGCAACAGCATTTCACTCTTTAGCCCTGGCTATCCTAGAACTCACTGCGTAGACCAGGCTGGCCTTGAACTCATAGAGATTTTCCTGCCCCAAGGTAACTTAAGAGGCAATACTCTGCCCCACATACTCACGAGTAGATTGATGACAGCCAGGATAAAGAGGAGGATAATCACACAGATGGCTAAGTTGCCCTTTCTTCCTCTCAACCCTGTTTTATGGAGACGATCTTCGTCGATAGGAATATAGCCAGCTTTAAAGTTGCTGTTGTGCTCTTTGTTGACATTTCTTCGCTCCACAGCCTTCTCCCGCATGGATTTCTTCACTGGCCCATTGGAACTTTGCTAAAAAAAAAAAAAAAAAAAAAAAAAAAAAAAAAAAAAAAAAAAACAAGAGAGAACGGAACAGCTACATTCTCTGTTGCTGTATTTATTAAATTCAAACTCACAATTAAAGAAAGCTGAACTGGCTGTTGACAGATGTTCCACGAATACACTACAAGCCAGGTCGGACTGTAGATGTCAAGGCTGCTGTCACATAGGACACGCTCCCTCTGCTTTCCGTCATCCTACTGTCAATGTAGGCACAGCCTGTTTCTGGGCAGAGTTGGCATATGCACATAGTGCAGTGGGCATTCTTATTTTTACTAAGACTTAATAAATTTTTACTTACATATTTTTCATTTATGTGAAAACAATTTGGAATGATTGACACAGATTGCTACTTATAACTCAACCAATTAAAACCTACATTATTCTAGACCAGCAGTTTTCAAAATGTTTGGTGGCAGTCGCATGAGTATGTATGTTTAGGGGTGCCCACTGAACTCTCTTCAAGGTCTGAAATGTCAGACACATTTTAAAAGTAATAATAATATTTTTTACTCTGCCACTCTTTTGAATGAATAATGGTGTTTCCGGAGGCTACGTGACCATTTATGATAGTGTGATTGTTCTAAGAGTTAATGAAATGTTTGCTTGGGCATTCCTATGCTTTCACAATTTCTCAGTTTTAATTTCTAAGATGGTAAATATCAACAGGTATTTAAGAGCACAAATATAATCTAGGATCAGAAAACTTGAGAACTTCTGAGCTTGACCACAGCTAAGTGACATTAAGCAATCATGTGATACACATACAGAAGAAGTAGCAGAAATGGGCACTGCCCAGTTCTCATATTTTTTCAGAGTTCTGAGGCAGTTCACATTGCAGGAGGCACATACTAAGAACTGTATGCTTAAACACTATCACGATAAGTAGGAGCATAAGATAGGAAGACATGATCCTTATCGTAGGTATTACAGACCTGCATTGTGTGTTATATGACACACACTCTGTATGTCCGGGTGCCAAAATCAGTAGTATAGACAATATGTGCTTCAGAGTTCAAATGGGGCAGTTGGGACACTTTGGAGTTGTTGGGAAAATGGGAGGAACAGATGGGTCAGATCAGCAACGTTGGGAGAAGAGAGGTGGAAAGCAGAGGCAGGCCGAGACAGCTCTTAGCACGGTGGAGACTCACTGGCAGTTGCTGAGCACAAAAGATGCATATTTCTGCACACTCAAGGTTAAATAACACTTGACAGAGGTAAGCAGACTCTTTCAGATTATGCAGGAAAGGAGGTCTGAGGGAATGAGGGACTAAACCGAGGAGGGATAGATACATGAATGAGGGGAAAATGAAGTGAGAGATGCGGTAAACAACACAAGCACCACTGTACAGGAGGTGGGCTTTATCCTGGGGGCGGTGCGGAACTACTGAGGCGCTGCGCTGCTGCCGCTGCTGCCACTGGGTGGCGCTGCTGCCGCTGCTGCCACTGGGTGGCGCTGCTGCCGCTGCTGCCACTGGGTGGCGCTGCTGCCGCTGCTGCCGCTGGTGGACTCCTCTTCCCTCTCCCTCCTCATCTTCCTTCTCCCCCTTCCACTCCTCCAATCTTCCTCTTCCTCTTCTTTTGCATTTCTTTATTCTTTTATTGTGTGTGTGTGTGTGTGTGTGTGTGTGTGTGTGTGTAGATCAGAGGACAACTTTTGGGAACTGGTCCTCTTATTTCACCATGTGGGTTCTGAGGATTGAACTCGGGAACTTAAGTTGCCAGGCCCCATGGCCAGCACCTTTATCCACCACGCCATCTTGCCAGCCCCTACTGAAGACATTTGCATGGACATGAAACTATGTCCCAGATGAGAAGGGCTGAAAGAGAGGAGTTGGAGAAGATGCCAGCACATTTCCTTGGCTCTGGAAAGTGAAGCTTTAAGTGGCAGAACTGCCAGGACCTGGTGACTAACACAAAGGCGTCTACCATGCCTTCCAAACAGAACAGGTGGGACCCCGAGCACAGAAGCAAGTCTTTCTGTTCAAATCTATAAAGTCGAGGACACCAGGTCACTAAGCCCAAGGCGTGTTTCTCCTTAGCTCCCACCAGACAGTCCTGCTCTGGTTAGGGCAGCCACATGAGCAGATGACTGTAGCCTTTTAATGGTAGGCACAGACCCTCAGAACATCAAGACGCATGCGCAGAACAACAGCCTCGACTACCTCCGAGGATGATTTAGCTACGGTGTAAACTAGGAAAAGCCGGGAATGGCTTCAGTCCCAGCAGTTCACGTTGTCCCCTTTCAGCTTCGTTTGCCCCTTGGCATTCTGTTGTGACTCTGCTGACTTGTTCGATGTTTGGCCGTTTGACTTTTAGGCGCTAGAAAAGATTTCATGTCTACTTTTTTCTACCCCTTAGACGAGTCCTCCGGGAACATATACCTAACAGGTCTCTAAAATGTTAGCCACCTAAGAAAAAATTCCCCAAAGTCAACTAAGTATTGGCAACTCAACTCACTTTTTAAAAAAAATCAATGATGTTGAAGAATGGGACTTTTAAAGAGAAGCTATCTAACTGGTTATTTTAAAAGGGAAACAACAGTAAAGAAGTGACTACAAAAATTGTTTTGATTATAATGTGACTCTGGCAACTACATGCATGTGCATGCATTCACACATCTCACACACATACACGTATGCAAATGCTAAAATAAAGTACATCTTGCTATTTGAGGGGACGCCTTCTAAACTATTCTCGGCTTCCAACGAGGACCAGAAAATATTTGATAATGCATTTCTTAAAAGTAATCCTAAACCCACTGGACACGGGTCAGTTTTATGTCGGTGACTGAATCGCCGAGAAAGCAAAGTGGGAGGGGAGATCTGGGCTGTGTGCACATCGGACATGGCAGAAACAAGACCTGGCCCCGATCCACGCCAGGCAACAGCTGACCACGACTTGGCTGCAGTCTCCCGGCCGCAGTAGACGTTATTTTTATCCGCACGGTTGCAGGGTGCGGAGAGAGAGGTCCAGGCGCAGGCTGCGCAGGCCAGTGACTGTCACTCCCGCCGAGGGACAACTGCTCTCACCGGCCCGGAGCTGCTGTCCAGGTTCCCGCCCGGCCTTGGCCAGCATCTTGGCTGCGGACAGCTCCCGCCGCCCCGCCCCGCCCCGCCCCGTCCCGCCCTGCCACCCCGCCTCGCCGCCCCAGCCCAACCCTCGGGCCCTCGTCCCCGCCCTCCGTGGGGACGACCCGGCCATCCCACTCCCCAAGCCCTCGGCCTCAGCAGGCTCACAGACCTGCTCAGTCGCCGCCGCAGCCGCCGCCGCTGCCGCCATCTTGACCCGCCGCAGCCCGCGCTTGCGCTCTGGCACAGGGGTGGGGCTCACACCCCCGGTGGCCACGCCCCGCCGCGCCCCTGCCACGCCCCCGAGAGAAATCCGGAGTGGGCCAAGGAGTCCTGGGTTGGCTCAGATCCGCGGAGGCGGGTCCCTCGCGACAGTGAGCAGCGAGGGTTGGACGGGTGTGGCAGGGATGGTACGCCCTCTGAGGCGTCCTCAAATTCCTTGGAAAGGACGCCCTCAAAGTCCAAAACATGTCTTTCCCTTCCACACACTTTCCATTGTGGAATGCTGTACCATGTTGTGACGGCTTGAGAGGGCAAGAGGTGTCAGTGAGAGTACTCGTGGGCGAGGTTTGGGTGCAGACCAAGGAGACAGAAGTTAGGCAGTTAATTCAAACTAGGAAGACTCCGGGAAGACTGTGGTCAAGTCTGGCACTCTTTCTTTGAGGCATTAGAGGCAGGTTGTCTGCCAATACAATGTTGGAGACGTGATGACCATAATTAGCTCCTTAGGGACCTATTTGACACACAGTGAGCACCTGGAAGACATTCGGAGGTGCAGGGAACAGGTGCACACTGGTTGTTCTCTGCTCTAACAATCCCTTAAGTCAAAAGGAAAACAGTAGACTGAGCAGCGTCCAACGTCCAAAAACTGTTCCTCAGGTCATGAATAGCTTCTAGAAAGTACCATGCCCCACCCAAACCCCCCACCCCCTACCCACGCCCCAAGGGGAATGCTCCACTCAGCTTCTTTTCCCCGGGACCTTAGTCATTTTGCTTTTGTAGCCAGTCCATTCGCTGCTCTGTCTACTTTTGATGAGTGTGGAGTTTAAATAGACGCTGTCACCTAACAAATATCTTTTAACCTTTTTTCCTTCTCATTTCTAACTTGGGGTAAGGGCTGCGCCTATGTGGTCATTTTCCTGCTCATCCCTTCTTCCCCGACTGCTTATACCAACTGGCTCCATCTCCATAGCATGCCTGCATTTTAGGCAGGAAGACTATAAATACAACGCACAGGGTTGGGAATTAGTAGTATCTTCGTAATAGTTCGGCTCTCGTCCCATGAATCAACTTTGACTGGTCCTGGGTTCCCGTGCTTCTCCTTTTACTGTGCTCAAAAGGTCTTTTCCTTTTTCACCGAAAGACGTTCTCCTTTGTGTCCCCAAGAACCCATCAAACGTCTCTTTGGAGCCTTTGGAGGCTACAGTCAGTAGTATGAGTCCTCTGTTTCTAATCTTGTGTAGGGTTTTAGTCTGCAGTGTTGAAGGCCTATGTCTCAATCACACACAATAATGAAGCTTACTAAAAGTCTTCCAGAGCTGCCCGATATTCCGAGTTTTAAGATAAGAAGCCCACCTTTTTCCTAACCTATCTTCACATAGGTGCTTTGATAATACATTTTCCTGAAGTCAGATGCCTTTTGGCTGTCTGAAGATTTGCTTTCCTTGGATTCCTCATTGCTAACAGGACACCCAATTATTCTTGTGGCCAATTTGACTTGTTGTGGCTGTTTTTAAGAGCTGATATTTTATGTGTTTGTCTGTTTTGCCTGCAGATACAGATGTGCACTCCCTGCATGCCTGGTGCTGGGGGGGGGGCAGAATAGGGTGTTAGACCCTGAGACTGGAGTGGCAATTATGAACCACCATAATTATGGGTACAGGGAGCTGAGCTCAGGTCCTCTACAAGAGCAGCCAAAAGATGTTAATATCGGAGCTGTCGCTCCACCACTCCCCCATTTGTCGTTTGAAAAAGAGAACCAATTCATTCATTCAACCAGAAGCATAATGTGAGCATGTCTAATGCTATTATTCTGAGGCTTTTTTCCCCCTGAAACATTTGGAGGATGCTACATGCTTGGCAATGTCCCTAATTCTCCCAGCAGTTTTGTTCTAACTGACATTATACCAGTTCACCATGACACCCCCTTTCTATTTAAGTTATTTTGCTGTTAACATAGTTCTCTCCTAAGTAGACTGTGTGCTCCTTAAAAACTGGGTGCAGTATGTCATTACATGTTACTCCAAGTCCTGATCATGTGAGGAATGAAATACACACTAAATCCAAATAGCTCTGATGACTGAATACTGGTCTTTTTCGCTGAATAAAACAATGTCAAATATCTCTGACATAGATTTACTTTAACTCTCACTATACAATACTCCAGATGAGGCCCACATTCCCATCGTCTGTGCTTCCTAAGAGCTCTTCCTTAGTCCCGTTCCAGCTCCTATAGAACCTGCCACATGGTGTCTACGAAGAGATCCAATTACAATTCTGTTTGTAGCCTGCCTTCCCCACCGCCTGTGAAATAAACAATCTCTTGTTATAAAAGGCGCATCAGAGCCAAACCCACGACTATGCTCAGCTTGTCTCTGACTCTGTAGTCACAGCGGACTCTGCATTTCTTACCCTGGTAGCTTTCATTTCTCTGCATTCACTCTCCTGTGTCTGGTAGACTCCTCCATCCTTACAGAGCTGGTTCTAAAGGTCACTTTCTTCCACAAAGACTGGAAATCACTGTGTCCCTAGTTGTATAGTTATCTAATTAGTGTTTTACACACTGAGCTACCGTTGTCTGTCTCTTGCAGATCGTGAGATCTCAGAGAGCAGGAAACCAGTCTGACTCCAGCTTATCCTTAAGGTGGATGGGTGGGTCATCACCAAAACCCAGTAAATGCTGTTAAATGTGAGAAAGCTCCATTTCCATATCACCCATCCTAGGCACCACCTTCCTGCCGTACCACGCCATTCTTCTGAGAGGATGAAGGCTATCTGTCAAGGCTGAACATCCCTTGCTCCTCTCTGCAGTGTCTGTGTGCTGAACACCCCTCCCCTTCGATGGCCATGGCCACAGTATCGTGTATTTGCCATTTCATGGAGCTAGTGGTGCTGAAAAAGTTGATGACAGGGATCCCTTCTATGATGAAGTAAGTATACCAGAAACCTTGGTTGGAATTAGGGGGGTATTTGGGTCAATACAATTTTTCTCTTATTTTTCTTTTTTATTCTGTATTTAAATTTATTTTTTTTTTACCTTAAGCAAACTGGGCATGAGGGGAAATAATTCTGGTCTGCCCAGAGAGACCGCATACTGGCATACTGGTACTGTATTGACACTTCACATGAAACCTTGACTTTCTTGCTTCCTAGAGGAGGAACCTACCTTCAGCTTCCATCGGAACCAGTTGATTTTTCCTTCAGCGAAAATTTTTGTTTTTTTATTTACGTGGAAGAAAGCATAAGGGGTAAGGAGATGCCGACCTAAATGGACAAGGAAGGGCCTTGGCACTTAGGACAAAGTGACTTGTCATACCACCAGTAAATTCTCTCTCTCTCTCTCTCCTCTCTCTCTCTCTCTCTCTCTCTCTCTCTCTCTCTCTCTCTCTCTCTCTGTGTGTGTGTGTGTGTGTAGGTGTTGTTTGGATCTCTTCACCTTATTTTTTGATCCAGGGTCTCTCCCTGAACCCAGAGTTCAGTGATTAGTCAGACCAATTGGCCGGTAGTCCCAGGAGTCGCCTCTCTCAGAGACCCCCTCCCTCGTTGTTTTAAATGTGTGTACTGGAGATCCAAACCCAGGTCCTCGCGATTACATGACAAACACCTCACCGACTGGGAAATCTTACCACTGTGGAAACCCCGTTTTCAAAGCAATTTCGTGCAAGCGGAGCAAAAGCTAGGTTTTCTTTGAACAGATCCTGACACCACCAACCCCACCGCAAAAGAGTGGCATGGTACACCGAGGGACCCGAGTGTCCACACAGAACACAGGTGGGCAAAGGGATTGCACTTGTACATGCTGAGGAAGACTTGACAGTTAGGGCAAAGATCTCACTGTGTAGCTGCGTGTGTCATTGTATGGAGTACAAGTCTATGGACTTAGCCCCACCGAGTGGGTCGAGAGACAAAGCCAAAGATGTAAGTAGTAAAAACGGATATTTTAGTCGCAGTTTCACATAGGCAAACGGAGAATTAAATGCTTGAGAGGTGAAAGAGTAGGAAAGGCCAAGGAAGTCTACTAAAAATTCCCACGGAGTTAACTTGCTTTCCTGGCCACACACTGTCACCCAGAATCAGGTGTCCTGCGGTCCCCTATCCTCCTGGCAGGTCTAGGCCCAGCACAGGGTCGGGCAGCAGCCCCCCAGGGGTCTGGACATCCCCCCCAGCGGGTTGCACACTGTTGCCCTAGCTGCGGTCTTGGCAGCTCTCCGAAGTCCCCGGGCTGGGAGTGAGCTGGGTGGGGGGCGGGGCGTTGCTCCGACGCTAGCCGCGGGTCCCTGGCAGCCGGCCGCCACGTCAAGGTTTGTTTAATAATCGACGGGGTATTTATGGCCTGGCCCGCGGGCGGCGGCTGGGAAGCTTGAACAGCGGGCCGGCCAGTGGATGAGGCGTGGCGCCTGCGGCTCAGAGCGCCTCCCCCCTCGGTTTCCCGAACCCTGCCAGGTCCGACCCGAGGGGGAGGATGGACACTCCAGCTGCGTTCTGAGCCTGCGCAGAAAATAACACCCTTGCGGCCACAACACCCCACCGTCCTACCCAGGTTACCCCCTCGTCCCTTCTACCACTCGATCTCCCGGAGTCGGAGGCGCGGAAAAGCGCGCGCGATGGCGGACAACGTGAGGAAGCTGGCCAAAAGCGACTCTTTTCGAGGGCTGCAGGATAGAGTCTCCTTCTGGGTGCAGGACTACAAAGTGAGTCTGGGCGGGAGACCCCAGGGCTCTCACTGCCTAGTTTCCCCGCACAGCCTCGATCGGGGCTGACGTCCAGGAGGTCACTTCACCTCTTGATACCCTAACAGGCATATCAGACTCCTACTTAGATCAAAGAAGGAAGTCCTATGTCTATGGGAACCCTTCACCTGGGGCGGGATGACTCCAGGCGGCCGCAGAGCGTTGGCCTGTGTTCGGTAACCGTGGACGCCGGAGGCCCTAGCAACAGAAGGAACAAGTCGGGCTGCCAGCTCCCCTTTCCCTCCCCCCTCCCCCCCCCCCCCCCCCCGCCCATTCTCTCTGCCTGCTTTGGAATTATTTTC